CGGGACACGAACCGCGGTCGACTACGTGGGAGTCCAGCGACATAGCCATTACGCCAACTGCTGGTTCCCATTTCCTCTCATTCTTGTAACAGGCTTTTAACCGACAGGGGTAGCGGTGAGAGGGGGAAGCAAATAACTTAAAATAATGCATGCTAATAGACACACACACGAATCTCTCAGAGTGTCATTTCTGTGCAGCCTTGGGACAGAGGTGGGGGAACTTCAACTTGCAGAGAGGAAGGAAATAGTGAGTGTGGTGCACCCGGTGGGAATCGAACACTCCAGACAAACCATATGCCAGAGAGCCTTCAACGACCCCTTCTTTCTCCTTGGCAGGCCCGGGTTGGGCACCCTCGCTGGGCTCCTGCTGTCCCATGTATATACGGACATGCAGAACCCCAGCCCAAGCCGTGCACTATCTGCTTCCGAGGCCTCGCGGCCCACGGCCTGGCCTCACTCACGGAGGTAACCACTTACTGGCCCGTAGACTGGCTTACCCAGTCCTCACAGTCGCCCTATGCGATAAACATTTTCAAATCTATTTTAACAGTCAAGGAAACCGAGACCTCCAGTGGTTAAATGATTTTGGTGAAACCATAAGGCCTCCAAAAAGCAGAACCAAAATTCACCCCCTGCATCTGCCCTGGCTCGTCACTCAGCTGCCTCTCAAGTGGGAGCCCCGCCGCTGTGGGAGGGCAAGGCACCCCAAGACCCAGGCCCGAGGCAGAAGGTCCATATTCTTGTTCTGAGGGCCCCTCCTCTGAGATTCCCAAGCAAACACAATCGCCTGCAGGACAAGGTGAAAACGTTCTCAAAAATGGGGACCAGCAGGTGGCATGGTGGGTAAGGCGCTGGACATTCCCACGTGGTCGACCATGATTCGAGTCCCAGACCTGGTGGCTTGCTTTCTCACCTCTCTCTCTCTCTCTCTCTCTCTCTCTGTGTGTGTGTGTGTGTTGTGTGTGTGTGTGTGTGTGTGTGTCCCCATATAGTCGATCATGGTTCAAGTCCCGGACCCAGTGGATTAAACTCACGCCAGGTGTGTGTGCATGTGTGCCCAAGATCCTGAGAGGAGAATGGAGGATAAGGGATTGTGGCGTGGCCATCCCCCCTGGGGGGTGATTAGCAAAAACCTCTCCCCCCAAAAAAAATTTTATTTAAAATAAATAAATAAATGAGTAAGAAAAAAAAATACTTTCTCAAAAATGCCTTCATGTGAAATGCTATCTGACATGGCAAGAGAATAGTTTTTGTTTGTTTGTTTGGTTTTTTTTGCAACGGTCTCCTAAGCACAAAGACCTCTTGCATGTTGTTTTTTTTTTTCCATGACTCAACAACTGTCTATGTACCCTGAACTCATGCTTAAATGGTGTCTTTCCTTGTTGCAAAGCTGCTCTGCCACTTATCCCAGAAGGAGCTCACCATAGCCATCGCAGGGGTAGAGAACCCCGAAGACATGCAATGCATTCAGCCATTTCTCCCCAGGGTGAGTGGGATGGGTCTCCGTCCCTGCTGTTCTTAGTGAATCAGTGGGGAGCTGTTAATGTTTACGAAGCTTCTCCTCTGTGATTCGCCATCGCAAAATACTTCAGTGGGCTCTGAAGATAGATGAACACATACTAAAATCTTATCTGAAAGCTCTGAGGCTCAAACCCAGGGCTTTAATCGTAATATATTTATTCCTTCCTGGCTCTCCACTAAATGCTCAACAACTGTAGCAAAACAAAGCCATGCCTTCTGACGGAGAGAGGGCATGATGGGGGATTGTAAAATGCTCGCTCTTCTTAAGAAAAAGATCCTAATTCTGATGGATGACTTGAGTGTGAAAGCACATTCCTGTAAGATGCTTTATTCATTCTTTTAAAATTCTAAATAGTAAAGTATCTTCGAAATCTCATGAATGAGTTCCTCCTTCTGCATTTTAATTCATTATAAACAACAGCTTCCCCAACCAGATAAGAATATCATTTCAAACATCTTTTAGCTTCCCTCTCACAGCCGTAACCATGAAAACATCACACAGACCCGCCCCCCCACACTGCTATTCTCATCATCTATTTTCTCTTTAAGTAGTTTAATGCAATCTAGCATGTCGCTCTTAGTTTCAGTAAATAGTAGGTTCTCAGGAGCCTCAACTGCCCCCCTTCTCCTGGTTTGTTTGCCCAGATAACTGTTCATCTAGCGAACAGTCACACCCCAGTTCCCTATTGCAAAGCCATTATTCATAATGGGGTCTCCTTAGAGAGGGTGCCAACACCCACAGCCACCCATCAGGCTGAGGCTCCAAAGCTACAGTATGTGCCTTTTTTCTGAGACTGTCAGAGTACAGCGAATGTAGTGACATGACCACAACCCTTCGAAGCAGTCCCTTAGAGCTGACATATTTACTCAACATCTCAGACGTTAGTCCAAGCTCTTTCAAAACCCTTTCTCCAATATCCCTCAGCTGCAGTTGAATAAACTATGAAACGCATCCGGATCACAATGTCACAATGTAACTTGTTTGAAATTCAGTGTAACCTCTGGCTTGGACACCCACCGTATTCGCTGGCGGTGGCTCCAAATGGCTGTCTCCTAAAATCAAATCCACTCAAGCAGGGCAGAGACAGGTCCTCGTCCATGCAATTCTAAAAGAATGAGCCGCAGGCCCCGAGAGCCGATCCAGAAGGGAACTCTGGAGTGTGAAGTTCTAAGAGCAGCCTCCCTGGGTCCGCTGCACAAACTCCTGGGAAAACAGAGGCCGGGCATGCCATGCTCACGCAGGTGGAGACATCCTGGTTTGTTGAAAGAAGAGGAGGAAGAAGAAGAAGGCCATTCTGGTTTCCCCCCACTCTCATGTCTTAGTCGTCGTCTCGATAGGGATCTTCGGTTTGGGCACAAACATCACAGGGCGACTGCACCCCAGCACAGCTGCTCCGAGCAGGCGTGGCAGGCGTAGCAGTTAGGAGCCCGGCAGGGCAGACAGTGCAAACCTGCCAGCCCTGCAGAATGACAGGCACCCTGCACCGCGCTGGAGGGAACAGGCTGAAGCTTATACCCAAAGGCAATCTGAAATTCTGGAGAAAGTCTCAATTTGATGCAGACAAAACAAAATTGAAATCCCAGCTCTTCTTACTGCTAAAAGAGGGCCTGGTTTCGCCATCTGCAAACTAGGCTGACTATTGTCTCTGTTGGAAGAATTCATTTAAAACAACACCTGGATACTTTATGCTTGGGCTACAATACGGATTCCACACTTCACGGGTGGATGTTATTAGACACTCCTGTTTTGGATTCTTGCGTGGTGGAGTTTGCACGCTTATGCCAACCCTTAAATAACAGCTGTAGAACTGCAGAATTTGCAAAGCTTTGTCAGGGCCCAGATCTGGTGGGATGAAGCCGTACAAGCTCCCACACCATGCCCAGGTTCTAACACTGTGTGTTTATTGTCTGGATGAGTTAAAAGAATCCAGAGATTTGGAAACCACGTTGTGAATAATTCCTGATTCCTTACGCACAATCTGAAGAATTACAGAATCTGCAGAAATTTCTGTAGAAACACCTCCCGAGTCACCTGCTCTCCCTGCCAGCACCTTCTCCTCTCCTTACATTCAACACGTATTTATTAAAGGCTTGCTATGGTTTACTGGGTACTGGGCTAGGCATGAGGGAGATAGCAATAAGCCGCAGAAGTGAAAGAGTCTGCCTCCACAGATGGGCCCTGTGAGGAAGGGAAGCAATGAATGAGAGTCTGTAGCCATCACAGGAGAAGAAGGTGCATTTTTTGTTTGTTTCGTTTTGTTTTTCGTTTGTTTTTTGGAGAGGTTTTTGCTATAGGGTGCGTGCGCTCACCAGAAAGACAGAGAGAGACAGAGAGATAGAAAGCGAGAATGGCCACGCCACGATCCCTTCTCCTCCATTCTCCTCTCGGGATCTTGGGCACGCACGCACACACACCCGGCGTGAGTTTAAGCCACCAGGTCCGGGACTCAAACCGCAGTCGACTACATGGGAGTCCAGCGACATAGCCATTACACCATCTACTGGTCCCCGAGGTGCATGTTTTAAAAGGGTGTTCTGAAAAGTCATTGGTGGGAAGATGAAGGAAATGAGATCTCTTTTTTAACCATTTCCAGTGGCCATTTTAGTGTTTAATGGTCGCTAACATCAGCATAAATCTCTCAGTTTCATGGCCATTGGTGTCACCAAGTCCGGCTCTCCTTGTCACTGATGGACCACCCGCACCTGGGAGGGAGAGGGCCAACCACACAGCTCCCGTCCCTGACCAGCAGGAGGCACATTCAGCTCACCTCTCGGCTCCTACCCTTTGCCTCACTGCCCACCCTCCTCCTTCCTGGTTCTTTCTGAGTCTCTTCTCTGAATCTGTGAAGATCTCTTTCAGAATGGATTGCTAGGGCCCTAGAGAGAAACGTGACCAGAGGTGAGTACCTAGTGGCAGAAATTGCAGGAGGCTATTCAGGCTTTTCTGAGACGCAGCACGATGACACGGCATCCCTCTCTACCTTGCTCCTTTTAACCAAAGTCAAAAAGGTCCACACCTCTGGGACCAGCAGTTAGCGTAATGGCTATGTCTCTGGACTCCCATGTAGTCGACTGTGGTTCACATCCCAGACCCGGTAGCTTAAAACTCACGCCGGGTGCATGTGCGTGCGTGCCCAAGATCCCAAGAGGAGAATGGAGGAGAAGGGATTGCGGCGTGACCATCTGCCCTGGGGGGTGATTTCTCGCTGTCTCTCTGTCTCTCTCTGTCTGTCTGGCAAGCGCACGTGCCCTATAGCAAAAACCTCTCTCAAAAAAAAAAAAAAAAAAAAAAAAAAGAGTTGTTAGGTCTTTACCTCTTCTGTCTTTTTTTCTCCTAAGATACCTCTCACTTCCTGCTTTAGTGTCTAAAGCATGCATTTTAGACACCTTCATCTTTGGATGCTACTTTATTAGCGAGTGCCACTATACAAATAAGCAAGAGGCCTTTTACCTACTGAATATTTCCACTGATGCTCGGGAGGTTATGTGTGAAAGGGGGTTCATTCGCCCTCCTAAAGAAATTCTGAATGCCATTGCAGACATATAATGAGTTCTAGACAAGGCAAGTCACCCTCTTCTGGAATTGATTTGTATCGTCAGACCTTAATCTGAAAAAGTAGGTCTCTTGTGTGAATAAAATACATCTTAAAGGAATATATACCCGACAGAAGAAAGTTAAGGTATGTCCAGAGTTGGGAAAAAAAGTAATTAAAAAAAATATATATATATAATCAGTGCCGTTTTGTTTTGTTTTATTTTTTTTCCATTTGTTTATTTATTTTTACATTTTTCCACATTTACATATCAAAAAATTTTTGTTGGGAACCAGCAGTTAGCGTAATGACTATGTCGCTGGACTCCCATGTAGTCGACCGCGGTTCACGTCCCGGACCTGGTGGCTTAAAACACATACACAGATATTAAGAGAGGTAACCTCTAGGCAACAGATCAGGATTTTTATGTTTTTCCTTTTGCCTTGCTGTAGTTCCTGAATGTTCTATGCTACACGTGAACCAGACAGACAAACAGTTCTTCTTTTTTTAAAAACTGCATTGAGCAAGTCTACCTAAGTTTTCTCTATAACCCTTTATCACTGTCTCTGCCGCAGTTTTGCGTAACAGCCAGGGGTACGATGGCGGTGGATTCTCCGAGGAGAATCGCTGAACCACAGCCGAAAGCAGCAAAGTCATCTTCCTCCCCACTCGGCCCAGACAGGGTCACACGGACACGAAGCCAAGAAGGTGCGAATTCCAGCTTGCAGGAAGACACCAGAGGGTTTTGCAGGAACACCCCGGAAGGCCTGTCCTGGCTTTCCTTAGATGGAAATCGAATCTGGGAAAACTATCCCGGGCTAGCTACAAGCTTTATCTTCTCAATGGAGCTAGAGGAGTACTCAGAAGTAAGAGAGGGAGGCTTCTGGGAAATCCGTTCAGTGTCTGAGCTCAGAAAGAAAGAGGTAGTGGGAAATGCTTGCTGCGTATTAGGGGAAAACATGTTTGTGACAAGTGCAGTCAGCGATGGCAGGGGCTGGTTTCAAACTAAACCAGCTGTGTTCTTCTTAGGCCGGTTGCATAAACGATTCTAGCTGGGCCCCTTACAAATCACTGAGGAAAAGAGAATTTCCTTGGTACCTTCTCCTAAATGAACACTTTCTGCTTAACTGATGTTGAAAATTATACACAACAACGTCAAGATTAGTCACGAATATCTGTTTTTGCCTTTTCTAACCACACACACACACACACACACACACACACACACACTGAAGAAAGCCAAACCTCTATTAAGACATTTTTCTAAATACAGATGTTAAATTGCTACATGCTTATCTAAGACAAAATCGTGGCGGGGACCAGCAGGTGGCGTGGTGGTTAAGGTGCTGGCCACTCCCACATGGTGGACCACGGTTCGAGTCCCGGACCTGGCAGCTTCCTTTCTCCCTTTCCCTCTCTCTCTCTCTCTCTTCTCTGTGCCTTTCTCTGGTCAAATTAAAATGAAATGAATGAATAAATAAAGTTAAATAAATAATAATTTTTAAAAAGTATATAAAAAAAGAAAAGAAAACAAAATCATGGGACCAGCGAGCAGGTGGCATGGTGGTTAAGGCGCTGGACACTCCCACATGGCCGACTGGGGTTCGAGTCCTGAATCTGGTGGCTTGCTTTCTCACTTCCTCTCTCTCTCACTCTCACCCTCTGTCTCTCTCTGGTCAAATGTAAAAAAAATCAATGAATCAATAAATAAAAAATAAAATAAATATTTTTTAAAAATCATTTTGACAATTTTGAATAAACATCGTTATTATTCAAAACGCAAAATTAAATTCTTTTTGCCCATTCCTGTTTTGTAAAATTAAACATAATGAGGCTTCTAAAATACTTTGAAAGAATAATGGTAGCGATATTGAGATTTCTTTTAACTTTGACTTTTGTCTTTGAGATTCAATTTGGGAAGTGCCTTTATAAATCTCATATTTGATCCTCACGGTGTCATCCCAAAGTAACAAAAACTAGTCTTAGTAGCCACATCTCCCTTTGGTAAGTGAGAACCCTGGAGCTCAGAAAGGTTAAGCAACCTACTTCAGGCCACACAGTCAATGAGAAGGGGAACTCTGGACTGGCTTCTACAGCATTTTCCTCTCAGAAACTGAAATACTTTTACAAATTAACTCGCTACAGTACAAGAGGCACACATTAAATGCAGGATAAACAGGAAAAAAAGCAAGAGAGAGAAATCTGTTATTTTAAAAGAGTCATAGGTCTAGCCACCGTGCTGTGGCACAGTAGTAGTGTGAATACCCGAGAAGCCTAGAAGCCATGTGGCTGAGCTTGGGTGGCTGAGCTTGGGTTTCTCTCTCTCTTTAAAAGAGGGGGGGTTGGGACCAGCAGTTGGTGTAATGGCTATGTCGCTGGACTCCCATGTAGTCGACTGCGGTTGGAGTCCTGGACCCGGTGGCTTAAACTCGCACCAGGCACATGTGCGTGCATGCCCAAGATCCCGAGAGAATGGAGGAAAAGGGATTGCAGTGTGGCCATCCCCCCCGAGGGGTGATTTCTCACTTTCTGTCTCTCTGTCTCTGTCTGTCTTTCTGGCGAGCACATGCGCCATACAGCAAAATCCTCTCCAGGAAAAAAAAAAAAAAAAGGGATGGGAGAAGATCAGGGCTAGCAGATGACATAAAAGTTAAAGCAGTTAGATCCCACATGGCTATGAGTTTCAAGTCCCGGACCCAGCAGCTTGAAAAACATGCCAGGCGCTAGGTCATGAGTGCCTAATATCCCAAGAGGAAAGGGGAAGAGAAATGATTATGGAGGGGCTCTCCCCTGTAGGGTGATATTTCAGTCTCCCTCTCTCTCTTT